TTAAAATGTATTGAAAAACTCGATTATCGAGAAGACGGACAAGAATCGCTCATTGAGAGATAAGCCAATCGATGCCTTTGGGCCTGAGGAAACAAAAAAGTTTAAAACCCCATGCGATTTTTGTCCGTCTTGGAGTTATGGCGATTTTTCGAAAAGGTAAAATTAACATGGGCTGCTTCTGTAGACAGTAGTAAATAATTCTGTGTTCCTACGTGGCCGGCAACATTGCCTATGAATAAGTTGTGTAGTGTTCTCTTGCAAAAGCGAGAAAAATACATGGTCAGGCAGCCACCACCAGCGAGCAGGGTTTAGTACCTCTAATTCCTCGATCAAACGTGTTGCTTACAAATGGAATGAGCCTACGTGGTATCTGGGTGAGCTTTTCATACATCGCCCCTCTCGGTTGAAGAATCGCACAGAGTTCCCATGGGTCAGTATCAGGTACAAAAATAATTACTATTTTTTTGTATTATTTATCCCATAAGCTACATAGCAAAATAACTATTTAAACATTGTTTCATAGTTTTATACATTTCAATAAATATTTCTGCAGCCAATTTGATGGATTAGCTGGTTAGATTTTTACTCCCGAATTTGTTGCAGATCTACACTCACACGTATTTACATATTTAGGTCTATAATCACGTACAAAATTTCAGGGTGTATTTTAAACCTAAATTTTTATACATTTAATTATACGTAGTTTAGCATATATGCTGCATATATGAACATATTAAACATGCTAGAATTTTGAAAGAACTTAAGACTAATACTTCAAAAAAATTATCTGAAAATGATCTCAATTCACCTCCTCCGTCCCCTCGTGTGCACCTCGTCAATGTGACCCTTCACCTTTCTCACGGAATTAAACATTTTGCCACAAACCCCACAACAAAAAGCTCTCTCGGCCGTGTGTTTGCGCATGTGGGACATCAAATCGTACTCCCGCTTTCGAACCTTCTCCCCACAAAAGTAACAGGTCTCCATGTCCTCCTCCATTTTCGGGGCGTGCATACACTTTAAATGCGAAATAAGATCGGCCGGTGACCCAGTCGAGTACTTGCATCCATCCGCACTTGGACAAATGAACGGTTTTTCGAGGGTATGGCGACGCACGTGCGTTTCAAAGTTGGCCTTATAATTTTTCACCACTTTGGGGCAAAAGTAGCAGAAAAAGGTGCGATCGCCATGGTTGAGGCGGACATGTTTTCGGAGGAAAGTTCCGTTGCGGAAGGTTTTTCCGCACGTGGGGCAATCCGAGGGGACGTGGGGAGTCGTGGGATGAGCCAGGAGGACGTGAGCGTGTCGATCGCCTTGACGTTTGTATGTTTTTGAGCAGAAATGGCACGGGAAAGACTTATCTGTTGGGTGGGAGAATTGGTGGTCTAAATTTGGGGAAGATGTGGTTAAATTTCTGAATTTTTGGAAACCTTAAATTATGTAATTAATGATTTATCTATTTACTTCTTAAGGCACCACTCGATCCAAATGCGACTCCGCATTTTCCACAAGGATAATGTTTCTCTCCAACGTGAGACACAATGTGTCTGTGTAAGCCATGTTTTTCCTAAAAAGAACTTTCCTTTATGGCGAATCTTTTTCTAAAATTGTTATCTAATTTTTGAAATGCTAACCTTAAATTTTGCATCGCAGAAAGTACACTCAAACTTGGGCTCCACATTGTCGTGGACGTATTTCACATGTCGTGCTAATGCTCCCTTGGTAAAAAATCCTTTCGAGCACGTGTAGCACCAGAATAGGCGGGCCGCCACGTGGACGGCGGCGTTGTGATGGGTCAACGCCCCCTTGGTCGTGTACGCCTTGCCGCAATTGGGTTGACCGCACTTGAAATTCTTTTGTCCCGTGTGCGTGACCTTGTGAACTTTTAGCGCGGTTTTTGATTTGCAAGTGACCGTACATTCTTCAAAATCGCACCTGAATCGTTTCTCACTTTTGTGCACGCGGATGATGTGACCTCGCAGATTGTCCAGGGTGTAAAACGACTTCGTGCAAGGGGTCACGTTACACTGGTAGGATTTTGAAGCGTTCGGCTTATCACGAATGTGGGATCTGATGTGGCGAGTAAGACTGCCCTCCGTGGATAAGGATTTGGAACATTTCGGGCAAGGAAATGTGACGGTGGGGACATTTTTAGGGGGGAATGACAGAAATGTAGCACGTGTGGATTAATTTGTGATAAACATTGGAAGGTTTTGGATTTTATTTTATACTTTTCTCTCGAGATGCAATTTAGAAGAGATGGTACAAAGTTGAAAATATGTGTATGTAAATATGTGGTAACGACTACTGGATAGTTTTGTTTGGTTGGCTTTGTACATACATATTAAAATGTGTAGCAGCGTAGTCATCGTGTGGTTGTAAAGGTGAAAGATAAAGGTATGTATGTATGTTTATGCAAAAAGGTAATGCATGTCTGTGGGACCGTCCATTAATTATGTCACGCGAGAAGAGGGAGGGGGGGTCTAAGGCTCCAATGATATCGTGCCTATGTGACACATAGGCACGATAAAAGGGGGAGGGAGGGGGTCTAAAAAAATTGTGATCTTTGCGTGACATAATTTATGGACCACCCCTGTACAAATATGTATGTAAGTATTTACGTACTGTGTATGTATGTAAATATGTATGTACGATGCAGGGAACATTGACAGTTTGTGTGTGTGTTTTCGATGGGTATTAAATAATTTGAATCGGACTACCTACATACATATCTACAAAATGTGGAGGTAGTGGAAGATTTATGTATGAAGAATTGGTATGTGTTATTGGTGTTGGCTATGGGTATGGTACAAATGTACATATGTGCGTATGCTGCAGATTATTACATCGTATTTCACTTTATTAAAGTCAACTATACTTGTTAGCTGGACATATGCACGGGCATGTATTGGGAATATGGGGATTATGTATACTTAACAATTTTATTTATGTGTTTATTTATGCATATATTTAGGATAATGGGCAAACTAAGTCAATTAATGCAACCTTGATTCAGGTTAATTTTTGATGCTTTGGGCCGTATGTAATAATTTGCGATATTTTATCTATACAATTGTCACAAGTCGATCTGGTAAAATTTTTGTTTGAAAATGCTTACAAAATCTTTAAATTCTTTAAAGACAATATAAACCATTTAAAGATTGGATTTGGGCGTCTCTTTATTTTGCAAAAGTTCGTAAATTAAAAATACGAAATTTATAGATTGTACGATATATCTATCTAACAACAAGTTGTCTCAATAAAATGTTTCATGTAATATGAAATGGTTGTGCAGACGTCTTGAAATATTTTGTGTGTTAGGCACGAGAGACTGACTCGTACAAATATATTAATTTATGAAAAAAATATTACTCGTGTTTTGATTCCATTTTATCATTTATTTCCGTAAACTCTGGAAACACCTTATATCATACATTAGACATGCACCGAGTACTCGGCGCTGCCGAGTACTCGGCAGGTTTTGGCCGTGATCTCACTACTCGGACTCAGCCGAGTATTTTTCCGTGCTCGGCCGAGTATTTCTTAAATTTTTATATGCATTCAATACCACTTTACCCGGTACTTACACCGCGCAGTTCAAATTATCCATCAAATTATCCATGTAATTTTTGCAATCAAAATCAAACTTACTTGAAAAATACACTCATGAAATTTGTTAATTCTATCCGGTAATCAACTTTAATCGAAATGTTGGAACATGAAGAAGAATCAGTAGCTTCACGTGATTCCGTCCACCAGTTCTCAAAATAAAGGTACTAGTAATTAAATCTTCTGCAAACAATGATTCTTTTGATGATTTTTTTGACAATTTACTCGGTAGCCGAGCCTTGCTCGGTACTCGCTTGCCGAGCTGTGCTCGGTGCTCGCAAACGAGCAGAAACGAGTACTCGGCAAAAATATGGCCGAGTACTCGGTGCTCGGCCGAGTCGACTTTTTCGGTACTCGGTGCATGTCTATCATACATAGAAAAAAATGACACATTTTCCTCTACCAAATGTGCCGTCATAATAAAATATTCCGGCCGGAGAGTGAGAGTGAGACGGAACGTGGAATGTGAATAATGCAAAATCTGTGTCACCCATGCTAATTTTGCAGATATGGCAAAATCCGCGTATTGTATCCTGACTGATATATGTGAAGCATAGATGCGCGTTTGAGCTAGACACTGACACTTTGTCCACTGACACTCGGACAAAATCAGTGGCACTGACACTGTGTCCACTGACACTCAGCCACAGTGGCTGACACTGACACTGTGGACGACACCCAGTGTCTGACACCCATGTTATATGGACACTGTGTCCTATGACACTCGGACACAATCAGTGGCACTGACACTTTGTCCACTGACACTGACACTGTGTCCACCGACACTCGGCCATAATGAGTGACACTGACACTGTGGACGGCACCGAGTGTCCGCGCATCTATGATGTGAAGTACAAAGTTTCAATTTGCTTATGTATGTATTTATGCATGTCGTAATACGTGCGACGGACTTTTCTGATCAGTTATTTGCGTTATCTTGTCATATCTCTGTCCTGGTGTTCCAATCAATTCGTATTGTTCCGTCAATTTATCTGGATTTTTCAATTAGCAAATCAGGACGGGACAGTGTGTCGCCGTACAATACACGGATTTTCACAGTGTGCCTAATTTTATCTGAAATTATAAATCTTGCAAACCTATTGAACTGCATTTTATCTAAATTCAGATTGACATTGGATAATTGTAAGATACATAAATTCCGAGAAATTAGATATAAACATTTCCAGACATTTGCACAGACTGCGAGAGAAAAATTTACGGAACAAAATTTTTTGCTAAGTTACGCCGTTTCTTTATCAACTTATCCAGTTGATTTACTTTTATATAATACAAAGTTTAGTCTCGCAATTAGTGTTATGTAACCCTGGTAATGTATCTGACAAGTTAAATAGTTGTCACCCAGTTGTCCATATCTTGGTCACATATTTAGTTGAGTAAGTACTTAACCCGAATTTAGAGTGAATTGTGACTCGATAAGTTGTGGCCTGACTCATATCATACCAATTACGTAAATCCTCATCACGGGACGGATTCACTTTCTGCATCCTCCGGAACTATTGTTTGCCAATTAATTAAAGGTACAAGACAGGTAAATATATACGTCACAATTTAGACACTGCACAGCACTCGTCATTATTGACGCATTTTTTTCGGTTAAAAGCTGAGGAGTCCTGCCTGAGTGCAACACATGTACATATCCTGACCGACAAATAAACAGCGTGCAGAAAGCATGTTATTGGTTTAGAGGCAATTTGTACATACTCATAGTTGACATGCGAAATACATATAGGGATCATTCTTTATGCATGATCCCTATGCATTTAAAAGTGCTGATTAGAGAATTGTGTCCCGTCTGACTTAAATGTTTGCACGTTTAGTTTCATTTCTTTGTTTGGAAGAGTTACATAGTCAAAGTGGTGGGCAATTTTGTCTCAAATTTAAGTGATACTTATTTTTAATTTTTTAAGATTTCTAAAAATATGGGGTCTCGTGGTGGTAGTAAATTGTACTTGTTACCGCTCGGTGTAGCGATCATCTTCCCACTCACGTTTATCATCACGTATGCAAACATACATAAAATATAATACACCAGAAAAGGCTGGACAATTTACAAAATTTATAAAAATAATAACTTTTTTCCAGATTTTCTGTCGCAATCTCGAAAAATCATGTTAACTTTTTCTTCTCTTACATTTCCGACACGGGCGCAATTCCCCAGGAAAGCTTGATATTTGCCCAACTTCTCAACATTGCCGGAGTTTTGAGTAAGTTTTGAATAATTTTATCCGGAATTTGGAAATATTTTATTTTCCGATTTTTATTTTAGTCGGATTATCGGCCTATGTCAGATTCAAACAGGTTGAAACCTTTATCAAGACGGAGGGCAAAAACTCGTCCAAGTCGTCGCCGAATTTAGGAAAATTTAACAAAATTGGGATAATTTTTGGCATGATTTGTGCCTTGGGGTCCAGCGTTGTGGGAATTTTTAATGAAAAGGATCAGATTTTTATACACGTGGTGGGAGCATGGATGGCGTTTGGTGGGGGCTCGGTCTACTTTATTTTCCAGGTGGGTATAAAATAAATTTTGGTAGCGGTTCAAAAATTAAAGAAATCTTAATAGTACTTCAAAAACATTCTCTTCGAATCTTGGTGGTCGTTTAAAAAACTAACTCGGAAATTTTTATGATAATTTAAGGCACTGATCTCATTCCAAATGGTACCACTTTTTGGGACGAAGGCGTTAGCAGGGTTTCGCATGGTGCTTGGATGTGTGTGCTTATCTCTTTTCTTGATAAGTTTCATGACCGGAGTTATGGCCACGAACAACTGGGTGGAGACTGGAAATAGTAATTATGCATATTCAAATTTGTTGATTTTTTGCCTATGCTAATTTGCCAATTTGGCGCTTCACATGATATGTAGTGTACTTTTCTAATATGGCAAACGATCTAATGCAAGTTTTTAACGTTTACTTGTTATTTTTTTCTGCTAGACAAGATAATGTTGAAATGGCTTCCGGAAAATGGTGGTTGGGCTTATCGTGTCACATCCGTAACGACAGAATGGATAATGGCTGCACTACTGGACATTTATTTCATAACTTTAATCGACGATTTTAGAAAGATTCGCTACGAAACACCAAAGGTAGGAAATATTTAAATTACTGTTTACTGTTTACTGGAGTTTATTAAAATGTCGCAAATATTAGAGAGTACTAGAAGCATAAAATCATCACTATATTTAATTCAGCCAATATTAATAGTCTCAATTGTTTTGAATTTTTCTGACAATGAGAGGTTATAAGGTTCTTGGAAATTAATATAAACAATCTGCCACGAAACCTTTCAGAATTTTTCCGACTATTAATATTGGATGAACAGTAGATAATCTTGTGACCATAATTTTTAGTTCTCTTTCATCACCACGGACAATCGACGAAATGGAGCCGGTGTCCACATGGACCGCATTGGATCCGACGATGTTTAAGCTCATGGCGAAAATATTTATTCCGAAAATGTACAATTATTGGACTTTTGTAGTAAAATAAAAACGTTTAATTTAGTACCGTTATTGATTTTTCAGAAATCAATTTTTCTAGAAACTTTTCCATGACAATATTCACGTGTCTTTTTTGACAATTTGATTACTTTTCATCCCTCTTGAGTGAGACACTAGGCTCATTCCATTTGTAAGCAACACGTTTGATCGAGCACCAGGAATTAGAGGTACTAAACCCTGCTCGCTGGTGGTGGCTGCCTGACCATGTATTTTTCTCGCTTTTGCAAGAGAACACTACACAACTTATTCATAGGCAATGTTGCCGGCCACGTAGGAACACAGAATTATTTACTACTGTCTACAGAAGCAGCCCATGTTAATTTTACCTTTTCGAAAAATCGCCATAACTCCAAGACGGACAAAAATCGCATGGGGTTTTAAACTTTTTTGTTTCCTCAGGCCCAAAGGCATCGATTGGCTTATCTCTCAATGAGCGATTCTTGTCCGTCTTCTCGATAATCGAGTTTTTCAATACATTTTAAATTTCTGATTTTTTCGAATTTGTGAATTTTTTAAAATTTTTCCTATCAATGAATGATCAATGAATAAAATCTGCAAATGTAACCTACCCCTTTGAACCAACACTTTGGCGACGAAAGCATTTTCAATGCATTTGCAAATTTTCTTTTGACTGCTATATCTTTGCGAAAAAAATTAATTTTTAAATTTTGATTGTTATGATATGTTTTATTTGATATTATGCATCTATGATAAGATTGTGGACAAGATATCAAATATGGGTGCGACGACGATCGTGTGGGTTCAGATGGAATGAGCCACTAGCCCTCGCTTATATACTTGTGTAAATCTGTAAACAAACAAATGCACACAAAATTTACAATTTATTTCAATTTTTACTTAAATACGAATCCCAAAAACTTTACATTCGACTCCACTTCTTTTTGTTGTAATAGAGCACGGATTTTGTCCTCAATAAATGAAAATTGTGGTCTGTCTTCCGCCACTTCCGCCCAACATTTCTCCATCAAGCCAAATCTGTAATGTTGAATAATTACTAAATATTTGTAAATATGCATTTCATTATTGTACAAATTTCGAAAACATCTACATACATTTCTGGTGAAGCCAGTGCTGGTCGTTGTAGTCTCAGCCCTTCATAAAGTTTGTCCACAAACGCAACATTCCATCCAAGTCCGGAATATGGTACGGATCCTAGGGAAAAGACTTCCCAGAGAGTGACCCCAAAAGCCCAAATGTCAGAATTTGTGGAGAATTGCATTTCAGATAACGCTTCAGGAGAAAGCCAGCGCCAAGGGAGCGCTTGCTGCAAATTGCATACATATGCAAATTAATAAAGAGTAATCCCTTATTTACTTATACTGTTAGAAATCTGGGGTAACCAGGTAGATATTGATTTCTCTGTATTTATTCAGAAAATATCTACATATTTAAACAGTTTTGGAAATACATATTCCGCACTGCTAAATAAATACCCAAATATTTTCTGCATACTTATATTTTCTAAAAACAGGAATATTGTTTCCCGCAAAAAATCTTGCAAATTTCGCAATTATTTATATTGAAAGGTAAATTTCCGACATTTTTTTTACCGTTGATGAATAATTTGTCACCTACATTTTTCGTCTTTTTGTAAATCGCATAGTTATGGAGTTGACGCGATAGGCCAAAGTCCGTGATTTTGACGGTATTCATGTCAGCGAGGAGGACGTTTCGACAAGCCAAGTCGCCATGCACGACTTTTTTTCCTGTGAGATAATTCATCCCACGTGTGATCTGAAAGCACCACGACAAGAGCTTGTTCTCGTCAAAGTCGTTCGGATTTTCTCGTCTAGCGTTTATAACGTTCCTTGTGTTCAGCGGGGTTCGGCGAAATCTTTGGGTCTTGTCGCGAAGAAACTTGAGCAGGTTTCCCATCGGGCAGAATTCGACGAGAAGAAAGACGCGTCCTAAACATGGTGTTAAAAGTCAAGAGGTAAGTAATTATGAGTCAATCAATATAATAAAAATGGACGAGATGCGTAAATATGACATATGTATGTACATATGTATGTGCGTACTCACGACTGCTGAAAATCTCACAAAATTGTCCATGTTTACTTGACTTGCAAAGTTTTACGCGATTTTGAAAAGTTTTTTTCTTGGAAAAACTACCCAGAAAAAAATTTACATGTTTTTATCTCTGACTATTCGGTACATTTGGTAAATAACTTGTGAAAACTTAATTTACGAAGGGATGTACCAGATTTTGCAAATAGGGATCCCAATCCCGGACGATTTTTAAAATCCCGGGAATCGGGAATCCCGGTTTTAGCCGTGAAAAATCCCGGGAAATCCCGGGAATTTTTCCCGAAATTTAAATATTACCTTATAACTTGGGTCAAGTCAAATTTGGGTGTACAAAAAGGTACATGGCTCTCAAAAGTACCGAGACTGAGCATATTTATAATTAGTGCTCGGCGCGAGACGAGACTATCTCGAAAATTTCTAGACGAGACGAGATACGAGACGAGACGAGACCAACTTTTTCGTCTCGAAAGATTTCGGGACGAGACGAGATCGAGACGAGACCAACGCCATCTCGTCTCGACAAATCTCGGTCGAGACGAGACGTCTTGATACATCAAAAATTTAGAAATTTAGCAGCAAAGTCTCCGTCCTCTAGCCTTCTGCAAGGAGCGAGCAGCTTTGGGAAATGCAGTATCCTTCAAAAATTTTTTTAGAGACAATAGATAAAACGAATAATTATGATCAAAACTTTAACCAGTTTGCAAATATCCTGATTTTTACGTAAAAGACACTCAAATATGACACTAACTATATAACTCCAATTATAAATTGTATATACTGCGGGTAACGATTCCTTCGTATCCATATCCCAAGTATTCTATGTATATGTAGTAGCATAAGCTATGACGGTTACGAGTCATTCAGGTATTTCATGTTAGCCTTCGTAAGCTCGTAACTACCTTCATAAGCCTGCGAAGATCAGCTTACGAACCAAAAATTTGACTTACTGGGTAAAAGAGATATTGGTACGTTTTGTCAAAACCTCGTAAGGTTAGTAAGTTTACGTGTTTACGTACTAACGAAAATTGACGTGAAATGACTCAATGGAAGCGTCGTAAAATTTTGTCGTCCCGTTACTAGCTTACGATTAAGATTTATCCTTTATTTTTTGTGTAAACTACTAGTATGTAGTTTACTATGAGGCAATTCACGCCCTCCTTCGTAACTACGTAAACAGCGTAAAATCCGTAAACTTACAAACGTTTACAAACTTTTACAAAAATTGCCAAGGAAAATCACTTTACAAACTTTTGTAAACTTACGCAGCTCACAGGCGTCTTTTAATTTTGTAAAGTATTTTGTAAACACAATTTAGGGAAGAAAAAAATTGTTCGACACTTGCACACGTTTCATTTTGTAAATTTTCTACAAATTTTCTATAAATTTTCTACACTAGCAAGACTGGTTCTGCGACATATCATCGTGTCAATTCTCATAAATTATGGCACCAAGAGGAAAATTGACGAAAACTAAACCAGTGACCTCGACGCTGGAGGAAGTCCAGGACGAAACTCAAAATTCTGGAAGCACTGTGAAGAAGAAACCCACGAAAGTCGTTCTGAAACGCCGGAACTGGTCCGAAAATGAAAACCGCAAAGTTTTAAAGCATTTGTTGGACGTAATTCAAAAAGGGAAACAACTGGAAAAGCCTAATGCTACGATATTTTACAAAAATATGATAGAGTTATTGAAGTTCGAAAGCTGCACGGATCAGCAACTAAAAAATCAGGTGCGAAATTTGAAAACGAAGTACAGCAAAGCTTTGGATTGGCGAAATAGGACTGGTCAAGGCGTGCTGGAATTAGAAGGGGAACAATCTGTTAAAAGTACTAAACTATTTTTTGCTCCTATACATATGTATGTATACTTTGACATTCTTGCTTTCCCCAGGGACGTTGCTCAATATGTGTCCACTATTCGACGAACTCGATGAAATTTATGGTGAAAAAGCTACATTCGACCCACCACATCTTCACGATTCCTCCTCGGGAACTCTTCAAGCACAATGGTGGAGTGATTTTGGACGAGATGATGAACTGAATGCTGAAGATGCAGAAATACCGGAAACCGAAATTAATGTGGATGTTGAAACTGTCCCCCAGAAGCCATCAACTCCAGGGAAATTGATCGCAAATAATCTTACTTCAGCAAGAAAAGACCTCGGAAAACGAAAGCACGCTGATTCCGGAATATCTGCTTTAGCTGAAGCGTCCATAATTCGAACTGAACTTCAAAAGCAAGAGATAATTTTAGCCAGGGATAAATGGGAAGAAGAAAAAAGACTAAAAAATTTGGAATATGAACTGAAATTGAGGCAGTATGAAGATGAACAAAAATTGCAAGAGAGAAAATTAGCTTTGGAAGAATTGAAATTACAAAATGAGATGGAAATATCGCGATACCGAATCGATAAAGAATGCAGTTTGAAATTGGAGTTGGCACAGATTAAAGCAGAACAAATCTAAGGTTTATTAATGATTAAAATGCTTTGAATTATTAAAATGCTGAGGTAATCACATCATGTTGAGTTTTCCATTAACAAATTGAAATAAAGCGTTGCGTTTGTAATCATCCCCTTGGTCATGATTTCCTTCTTGGGCATCATCATCAACTTCTATATTAATTTCCTCCGATTCAGTAAACGAGTCCTTCAGAATGTTGTACAAAATAATACACCCCCTGATCCACGAACAAGCCAGCGTGTGTCCATTTGACCTATCCACACGAATTCGCAATTCCTTTAAACTCTCAAAAGTTTCTTTAATAATTCCAAAGCAGCATTCTATCTTGACACGAAATCCCGAAAAATACTTGTTAAATCGCCGTCTCTCCGCAGTGGTTCCAGTTGACGCATTATTTTTGAACGGTGTTATCATGTAGTCCGTATTTTTGTAGGCTGAATCCCCGGCAATCCACTGACCTCTGTCCAAAAATTTTTCTGGATTTTTCCCGATTTCTGAGTTAGCAAAAACTCAGCATCATGAACCGAGCCCGGATATCCGAAAAAAATGCTCCTGATCATCTTATTGTTGTCACAAACGGCTTGCAGTTGGATGGCGTAACGCTGCTTTCGCGTAAAATATGACTCGGGGTCATCCAGTGGTGCTTCTTCAAGGTTGATGTGAGATCCGTAAATATATCCAATACAATTTGGAAGTTGGTCAACCATATTCCTTGCAATTTCCAATCGTTCGGTTTCGTCTGGCCATCTTATCCAATCTTTTTCTAATTCTAAAATTGCCTGAGAAATACATATTTTTTTAGACACTCCTATCAACTTCATACTTGTGAAGTCTATTGTGTACCTTTAGAACTCGAGTGACCACTTTCAATATGGTACCACCCCCACCAACTCCAAACAACGCTGCCGTAGTAGATACCCCGCTTCCGGTTCCGTCATGCCCTAACTTATGAAGTGTTATGGCGAGTTGCTGGTCGACTTTTAGTTGTTGACGACTGTTGGACTTAAAGACGTTGCTGTTTTCTATCATCCGCAGAATGAGAGTGAAATCCTTTCGAGAGACTCGCATAAATTTTTTGAAATAGTCGTCGGAGTAGTTTGGCAAGATTCTTCGGAACCAATCATCTGACTTCGGGACAAATAATCGTGGAACAGAAAGACGGTACGTAGAAATGGTCAGAACATCATCTATCGCGTTATCGAAAATGATATCTGCCTGTGTAGGACTATTTATTATATCAATAAATGCAGCTTCACAAATTTCTTCCATTAATTTCCGTTTTCTGGAAATGATCGGCATTTTGTTTCGATTATCAGATAAATTTTTACGAAAATAATTACAAAAGTGAATTCACGGGAAGCTGTTTGTAAACGTTCGTAAGTTTACGGATTTTACGCTGTTTACGTAGTTACCAAGGGTGCGTGAATTGCCTCTATATAAGGAATACAAGGCCAATTATTAATATTCTAAATATTTGCAGTTTGTGTATTTGTATTTTGTAATTATCTGAAGAATACAAAAGATATTTTGAAAAACATGGATGAATGTCGAGACATCTCGTCTCGTCTCGACCGAGACGAGAATCGAGACGAGACGAGATGACAAAATCGTCATCTCGTCTCGTCTCGATTACTTCGTCTCGAGTCACTTTCGAGACGAGACGAGACAAGGCAATCTCGTCTCGTCTCGTCTCGTCTCGTGCCGAGCACTATTTATAATACCTACTTCTCTGTTTTTGGGATCTGTGCCTGCAGAAATACTTAAAGTATGCTATTTTCTGGCCTACACAAAATAATATTTTGAAAATACATACATATTTATGTACTGTAGCAATACAAATTAGTAATTATATTGTTTTGCCTACTATGGCAAATTTAAAAATTCGATGTATTGTGGAAGCCCAATTTAGTTAAAATTCACTATTTTGGAGAGGTGTGAAGAAAGAGTTTAATAATTTCATTCCAGAAAACTTAAATAATTAATCAAGGATTTGTCAGCATGTTAATCCGAAATGCATAAATTTACGTTTATCAAATATCAATATTAATTGGCCTAACCTGCATTAACATTAATATTGAAAAACTTCAATTGGACATGGAGGTTGGTAATTCAAAAATTTCAAGTTTAAATAAGTACATATGTATATGAGCTACCACGTTCAAAAAGCCTTTCATACAGCCTTAAATTCATCGACTAAAATTCGAAATCACTTCTAACATCTTAGCATTTTTGATCATAACTGATTTCAGATTCTATAATTATACCGAAAATAAGGTTTATTTGTTCCTTCAAGTTATAATCTGACATCGAGATTAGAGAATTTTAAGTTCCATCTTGTATTATAAATGTTACTTGCAAATTATGAAATTTGGATAAACGTACGAGTACATTAAATGTGGCCACTAATATTGTTTAAAATTTATATTTTCGAGTTCAGGATCAATTTTGATTGGTTATGATCATCGAAGCTTTTTCTTACTAATCATATAACCGATAATTATTTAAAACTGCTATTAAAATTTTAAATTATAAGTAATTTTCAATTCTGAATGACAAATTGAAAAATCCCGAAATCCCGGGATTTCAGTTCTTCAAATCCCGGGATTTCGGGATCCCGTTTCCCGGGAATTCCCGGGAATAAAATCCCGAAAAATCCCGGGACTGGAACCCCTATTTGCAAAGCTCTTTTAGGAAACAATGCGATTTTAAATCGTAAATTTATTCATAAAATGGACGTTTCTTATTTTCCAATATGAATTTCGTATTAAAATTATTCACAGGCTAATCCTAAGACGCTGACGTGAGTACGTCCAATAAACCCTTCTGCGAAAATGGCGCATGATGTTCGCGATTGTCTACATCAAGTTTTCGGTAACATGCATACTTACCTTTCTCAAGTCCCTTAGTATCCGAACCGACAAGTTCAATCAGATTTGGATGACTTCCCAAGTAAATCATGACCTTAATCTCGTCCATGAATGATAACAGAGATTCACGATCCACATTTCCCTGAACAGTTTTGACTGCAATATCCTTCCCCCTAAGCTTTCCTCGTAGAACGACGCCAAATTGTCCACTGCCCAGAATTTTGTTGTAATCTGGGCATAAATTAGTACTTACATGTATAATTATTGCGTTAATGATATAAAATGTTAAAATTGGAATAGGTATTTATACAAATCTTTACCAATTTCGTAATCTTTGCTGGAAATCTCATATTCCGTGTTATACGCAATCATTTTAAAGTTATCAGGAATATCTTCGCCACTTTTTTGTCCTTCGTCCATGGGCACGAGACCCTCCCCATTTTTGAACTTTTCTAAATCGTCTTTTGTAAGTAGAACATACTTACTTTTGTACACTTTGTATAAAGTAAGAATAGTGATAAGGATTAAGGATCCCATTACGGAAACGGAAATTATCCAATAAGTGCTACTTTGCGGAGTTGGCAGGTCCTCATCTGTAAGAATAAATATTTATGTGGTTACACGCAGTTATGGTCATAGATCGGAGTACTCCAGGCTTGGAGTACGCACTCCGGCCTCCGGAGGCCGGAGTACGCAGCCTTTTCTGGAGGCCGGAGTACGCGGAGGCCGGAGTACACGTGGCCAGCCGGAGGCCGGAGTACGCGGAGGCCGGAGTACGCATGGCCGGCCGGAGGCCGGAGTACGGAGGCCGGAGTACGCATGGCCGGCCGGAGGCCGGAGTACGGAGGCCGGAGTACGCAAAATTTCCGATCGCATAGATAGGAGAATTCTGGGCTTGGAGTACGTACTCCGGCCTCCGGAGGCCGGAGTACGCGACTTTTTCTGGAGGCCGGAGTACGCATGGCCGGGCGGAGGCCGGAGTACGCGGAGGCCGGAGTACGCAAAATATCCGATCTATGGTACGGACAGCTTCCTATTACATGTGGGAGTCTTAAATCGACATCATTTTGTATACACAAAATATATTCACTCTAAATAAAGTTGTGTAGAAGTTATGTAAAATTTTGAGCGAAGTTGAATAAATTTTGCGCAAATGTTGTGTCATCCTCTATGTATCTTACTCAACTTTAAGTAAATTTAGGATAACTTTACATATTTTGAGTATATATTTTTTTACAATAATTTTCAAAATTGAGTTTGATTTAGTCTGGATGTTTTTAAAAATAGATTATAAACTGCGACCAATTGAGAAATTCTGGGCACTGACTAAATCCAAACATTCTAAGCTTTCAGAAACGCCAGACACCTTGCGAAAATTTAAGAACAGATGGAAGAAAATCAGCTTGAAAGTGGGTGCAGTCTATGGGCAGAATTTGATGCGAAATCTGACAAAGAAAATGCAATCTGTAGCACATAGCGGAATTGAATCATTAAAATTTTAACTGTATGGTAATCCAAACCCTTTCGTAGTAAACATATGCAATTTTTTTTTTAAATTACATTAACTGTGTATAAAGTTCTGAGCATTTTATTGCGTCAGTCCGCGACGTTAGTGGACGTTCTTTATTTACTAAATACTTGGTTTAGAGCCCCATTAACAGTAATTTATCTACCTGGTGAAACACGATAAACCTGGGAGACTGTTCCCCTCGAATTTTTTGCGGTGCACACGTACTCTCCGGCTTGTAACTCGTGATGTGTCCCGTTTAAGGAGTGAGTTGTGTTTGAAAGCCGTAAATCTAAGTGGATAACGTCACCATCGACGATACGAATTTCACTGGACGTTGTAAGGAGCTACATGTAAATAATATTGGCACACAAATATGCATTAGACTCGTAAAAAAACATGCTTCAAAAATACAAACCTCGTTATCATGAAACCACGACACTTCGGGTAACGGGATACCGAACACGGAACACCGAATAGCTAAAGCGGGACTCCTCTTCGCAAAGGTAATGTTGGTTTGAGTGAAAATAAATTTCGGAACTGTTTTATCTGGATTTGTACAAAAAATGTGAAGTAAAATGTACGTTAATCGTTGTACGATATACACGTACATATGCATAAACTTGTATTTACACTCTGGATAAAGTTCTGTAAAACTTTACCCAAAGTTTAAAATAGAGGATGACACAATAATTGGGTAAAATGTATCCAAGCTCGTGTAAGATTTTACCCAATTGTTGTATCATCCTCTATTTTACTCAACCTTGAGTAAATTTTACTCAACTTTATTTAGGATGCACAAATAATAAATATTAGTCACCTTTTACTGTTAAGTCCAACTTGACTTTGAACTTTTCATTCGACTCGGACGTATAGAAATTACAAGTCAGAGATTCAACATCGGAACTAAATTGGAGCCATACGTTTTCATGCCGGATTCCTTTAGCTTTATCGACCCCGGCTAAATATACACATGCGTAAGAACAATTAATCGCTGGATTTTACAATGGGCATACTCATGTCAATCTTCGCATATGTATGTATCTCTCAAGCATGGCAAAATAACTTGCTAAGTATTGCGGAATTTCCGAGATTTCGCAAAACTTTTTCTGGAAAAAACTAAGGATTTCTTTTCGCAAATTTACCCAGCAATTAGGTTTGATTCTATTTAGGAAAATTATTTCACAAACTCATCCCCACCATAACCAGCGAGGGAATTTATAGAAATCTAAATATGTATGAAAGAAGCCTCAAACTTCGTGTTAAAAAGTACATAAGTTTGCGAATTTGCGAAACTTAAATTTTGTGGGCTTTGCAAATTTGCTAAATGAGTTGCGATACTAAATAATACGTTGTGTCTTGAGTACGCCCCATGTATTTTTTATGTCCTAAAAAACACGGAATCACCCCATTCTTGAGTAGGAGAATTAGGTCCAAGATTTTCCACCGTGGTCCCATTTCGAAATTTCGAGCTCCATGTGTAGCCAGGAATGACTAGAAATGGAACTGCGCTGCACATGAAGGAGTAGGTCACGTCAGAATAGAACACGCGAGGATCTTCTTGTGGGTCCGTTCCACGAACCGGGATCTGACCCACGTTAAATCTTAGGGTTGCAAGTGCTTCCATCGGAACTTTGGATGCGTGCAATTCGCTCATTAAATCTAAATATTGTATTGGCACAAATTAGTACAAGTTTTCTGATAAGTTGTAATAAGGGCATGCAAGATCGGTATTAGTACTTTTGTAAAATGGATTAAAAACCGGTTTTCGATTTAACCGGAAACTGGTACTGTATAAAACTCGTTTAATCACGTTTGGAAACATGTTACCGATTTTTGTGTAATCAAAGGTTTTAAAGAAAATCGGAAATCGGTTTTCAAATCTTCCGATATTGGATGCCCTAGAGTATTTTTATACAAATGTATGTATTTTTATTACGCACATGGCTTGTTGTCCATTCCTGTAAAATATTGCTCTTTCTGGATGAGTGCACCATTTTGAAAGCAGGCAACCATTCCGGATCGAAAAATGTCGATAAGCGCGCATGGATAATTGACCGGGTCTGACGCACAAGATACAACCCGCCTGTTGAGTTTCGTTTCTTCTAGGACGCGTTCCCCGCTAACTTCCCATTCCGTGTTCCAGTCGCACCTTACATGCTGATAAAAGTGGGTGAGGGATTCGTATAAATTATTTAGAATGCAAATTCAGCTTCATATTTATGTACAGATCTCAAAATTCCCACTTTGAGCTAAACTACTTTTCAATATTCATTAAGAAACAAAACCTTGAATGCGTCAAAACATGCGGCATTCGAAACATGAACAAGGATAAATTTTCTTCATTTTAATGAAAACCAATGAAATTTTCCTCATTTCAGATGAGTGAGCGTGAATGGAAAGTCTCACTCCGTACATTTTTCACTATATTTAAATATGCTTTACATAATACTCCATTTTTCATATTAATTAGTTTTCACTCTATGGTAAAGTAAGAATTGAATTCCAATGAAGTGAAATAAAATGAATATGAAACGATGAAATGGCTGAATTTTGATGAAAAATATCGCTTTCAACCGGAATATGTTAAAGCGCTCAATACCGCTATCTTCCAATTATTAATATTCATTAGTAATGAATAATTACCCTGTACAAGCAATCCTGCAACATGTCCGCTTCCATTTGTGTGGTTGCATAAATGTTGGAAATATAATCCCACGTGCGGTTAGTCAATATCGCGCAACCCAAAGAAAGCTGCTGAAACTTTTTAATTATCCCGGTGTCATTTACAATCTTCGGAGGTGTTAGGGGCGAATCGTAAATGACTTCCCGGTCGCGATGTGAGCCTTGTTTGCACATAAACTTGTGGCTTTGATTTTGATTTACAACGCTCCTATCGACTGTGAAGCCTTCGGCTGGATTGTAAGTGATACCGGTGCCATTAATCTCTATAAATGAAGGTCCCTGCAATATAGGCACAACTTTTTGAGGGGTAACTTGAAAATTAAACGCATATACATAAACTATTGAAGTGTTAGTAGATCCGGTTAACAATCCGATCCGACACTATCCGATCTAACAATATCCGATCCGTCAGATCGAATCGGATTTTTTATCCGACCATTTATAATAATATTGATCTTTTCCGATTTTCGGATCGGATGGGACCCATCTTATATAGTGGTCAGATAATGTGGTAAGGTCGGATCGGATCGGATTACCTACATCCAAATTATGAACTAACCCATTTGCTTTCGGGTACCAACAATTGCATTTCCGACGCAATTTCAGGATTCGTCAGCCTACAAGGGACTAATATATGGGTTTTTCCAAGATGTGGATGATTTTCCCAGTACACGCTTCTCCGTGTTCTTTGACCAATGATGTAAGGTGGTGATGTTTCTAGCAGTTACATATGTAATTTTAAACGAAATTAAAATTTTACGGATATGTAAATGCCACTTACTTTTAAAGTAAATGTAGATCCAATCTTCGGAAAATATGCTATTGTTGTTTGATTTAATGCCACTTGAAAATGTGTAGTTTCCCGTTTTATCCCCGACATATGGGATTGTAATAGTTAAGCGGAACCTTTGCATGGCCATGTCATAATCTTGTAAAGTGTTCACTTTGGTCAAGGGCTGTGTGGAATAAGAATGTATTACAACTTCGTACATACATAGCTGCGTATCGCTGCGTAGCCCAGGAATTTTTTCGTGATTACATAAATTCGCACTTACGCTGGCGCCACAAGTATTTACACCTTAAAAAATGCTATATTTCGCATATTTTCGGAATAAAAATCAAAAACATAGTAGTTCCGAAATATTGTGAATGGACCATGTTCCGTGTTTGAAAAAGGTTATGATTCATGATTTTTTTTAAAAGCTAACTTTTGAAGCTCCAGAGCGATTTTTATTGTCTCATTATTTCTTGATTTATACCTCAAATCAATATTAATATTTTTACATTTTGTACGATTAGTTACGATTTTTTAAGAAAGCTATGAATTTTTAAATAAAGAAAATTTCGAGGATTTAAGAATCATCATAACCTCAGACCTTTTAAAAACAAAACAGGAAGGATGTCCATCTGCTATCTTATTGCAGAAATCGTGCGAAATAGATAACTTTTAAAGGGGTGTAAATTCTTGTATCGACAGTGTCGATTCGACACTGTACATATTTCTGACTAAAAAAACAGCGACTGATTTTCAGTGGTACCTGAAGTCCAATAAACGTGAACTTAATTGGGGACGGTGATGCACACAAAATACTGACAAAATATTGTTCCTCAGTCCAAGGATCGCCCAATTTTTCTGTAAATTATTAAATTATAGCGTGCACTGTTACCAATAAAACTCTCATGTATGTAGTCACACAGTTATAGATTTCTCTTTTTAAAGTTGCTACCGCTAGGTGTTAAAATTATGCATACCGGTCAGTAAAAAATTTGCTATCGATATGGAAGATTAATATCGAGCTATTACTACACCGTATTACTTATCATATCAATCCCACTTTGGTAGGATCACATATGTATGAATACCGTTTGGTGCTGTTTTAATACTGGATTTCCAAGATTGTACAATAAACCTCAATTTTTACACAGGGAATGGATATGGTTTAAGCTTTATTTAATATCAGAAATTGGAAACGTTAGATTTATAAATTTCATTTGCGTATCCGTAGATGAGTCAAAGTGACAAGCCACATTGAACGGAGAGTACAAATACTTACGCTTGTCAGGTCTCCCCCCGTCAAACATGAGAATATTCCTGCTCGAACAGCTTGCATTTGCCCAGTTGATTTTTTCATTGTAATTGTACTCTTGTGTCTTACCGATATGGTAATTTATGACGGAACGCTCTCTCACACCGCAAAATATGCCGTTGGCAGATCTGATAAAATATAAAATCGTACCTGTTCACCCAGTTTTTGAAACACAAACAGTTTCCAAACTAAAAATTATTTTTTACATATGTAAATACTTACGCTTTCTTCGCTTTCTCAGAAACACTGATCCAGCGAATGCCAAAAATTTCGGCTCTGGCATCAAAATTCAGTCGGCAATCGAATTGAGACAAAGCCAATTGAAAAACAATTGGCCAGACAGCCAGTAATATTTTGAGCTTAGTAAAACGACACATTTCTAACATTAGTTATATAGGTACTTCCACTTGAAGGAGATAATTTATAATGAAAATAAATTTGAGTAGTTAAATTAATCGAATATTTAAATTAATTAGCTATTGGACCGGATATTACAAACGTGCTCGTGTAGGAATTTGGTTTTGGTATCGCGTAAATAAATAACCGCATTTATAAACAGCTCTTATTCTAAATACTACTATTTAAATAGAAGGTAAAATGTTAAGCCAACCGATTCGTAAACCACAAACCGCAACAAGTTGAGATGAGAGCATTGTGAAGTTCTTTCATTAAAGGATGTCATTATAGAGGAACATAAAATGACTTTTAAATGTATGTACAGTATGTAACTTATTTAATGATACGATCGCATTTTCTTTATATCGATATGATTTCGTAATTTAAGAATTTGAAACTCTGTCCAAAAATCTAGAAGGTACATATCTACGGTCAATTTCCTCGTCGTCGATTTTTAGGTAATGTCACAGACAGGTCAAAGGTCAAACTTATTTTTCCAAAAAAATTTGAGGGGTCGAAAGAAAAACTTTGTGGATAATTTTTTTTGAGCTTTGCAATATTTTTTATCGAGTGCGGCATGCGTTTTGAAGAAAAATGAGTTTTGGTCGGACCGTGTACGATTTTTTTGACCCCACAGGAATTTTTCGCCAAGGACAGGTTTGAGGTCTAAAATCGCCACCGCGGCGAAAATTCGAAAACTGAAATATACGTTGGAATATCTTTATTTTAAATGTCCTGATAATGAATTAAAGATATAGCATTCGAAATACTGTTAAATAAAGTAAACTTTACTCCTCGCTTTTCCACTAAAAACTCCATGTAACATGTATGTAATATTTTTTGAAATTTTTAGTAAATTAAATGTTTATCTTTAAAAACTAAGGCTTTTAGTATGTTAGACAAAACATTGGAATTTTTTCTGATATAATTTAGGGATGTTGCCTCGTCGTTTTTGTTTGAGTAGCAAGTTTTAAAATTTATTTTTAGCAAGAAAAATGTCACGAGTTTAATAGTGCGTCATAGAATTCAAACCAATTTTATAAACAGGTTTCTACTAACACTTGAATAAAAGTTTATGTAAATCACAATCAATTTAATAAATACATTCACAAATTATACTCAATACTTGATAATAAAGGTTGTTACAAATATGTACAAAAATACATATGAAATACATACGTGAATCATACATACCGTAAAAACTCAAATAGTAGCCGGGGGCTACTATTTAAAAAATCAGTGGCTGGGACCCGGCTACTATTTGAGCAAGGCTACTATTTGGGTACAGTCACTATTTATAAAATTATGAAAAGATGCACGGCTACTATTAGAAAACAGCTATTGTAATTTTGTTTCCAGAATCAAACTAAAATTAAATTTTAATAACAGCACCAAATTCTCCCTTAGATTTGTATTACATGACAATTCTATAGGTTAGGCCTGCTATGAATTTTAGTTATTTCTCCGATGAACTGAATTTCGTGTTCAATTCGATTTGTATAACTGAGATTAAATTGAATTATGATTTAATTACTTAAATGAGCTGGCTAAGAGCTGTCTGGTTGTATGTATGTACATTAGAAATTGACGAACGGCTATAATTCGAATAAGGCTACTATTTGGACAGGGCTACTATTTGAGCAGGGCTACTATTTGAGCAGGGCTACTATTCGGGCACGGCTACTATTTGAGCAAGGTCACTATTTATAAAATTATGAAAAAAGGCAGGGCTACTATTTGGGCACGGCTACTAAACTCCGTTTCACCTTACATGGTGTTACCGCCACAGGCAAGGAACATGAGAATCCCATGTTATTTTCGTGTGGCGGTAATACCATGTAAGGTGAAACGGAGTTTATTTGAGCAAGGGCTACTATTTGAGTTTTTACGGTAAATACGTAATAAAACTCCGTCATGGAAATAACCAAAAAGTAAAATTAAACGATTATTATAATCAGCATATGCTACATGATTAATAATTTTTATAGGAAATTTAACTGGTTTATTCCCACAAATGTCATGTGCCACACTTTCCATGTGTCATATAATGATGTTTGTATTAAATACTTTGTATGATCATGCGAGATTAAGGAATTGAATACACAAAATCATGAGTCATTTTATTGTATTTCATGCGAATTCATATCCACATGTGATCCACCCCCAAAAGAAATTCCCTGTTATGAATTTATGCGCGGTTATTGCCACCAACAAAAAAACAGACCTCAATAAATCCATAAAAATTTTTAATCCATTTCTTTATATAAAATAAAACCTGTCCCGTATCTCTTCAATTCGCCAAAATGTCTCTCCTCAACCTCATCTGGGCTCTTATCCTTGTCATCGCTTCCCAGCATGCGTCGGCCCGTAAGCAAAAAAATAAATAAATTTGCAAAATTTTCTCTCCACTATTTTCAACTCACATTGTTAGAAATCTGCTGTATAGTCAGGCAGATATTGATTTCTCGGTAGTAAAATTGCCACATCTTGGTATTATGTAAAATCAGTGGCCGCAGAATCCGTGGGGGCATCTCGGAACATTAACGTTGTAGGGGAGCAAGGGGTTTGTGTATATATGTAACATGGGAGATATTTATGTATAATGAGGACATCAAATAACCGTGGGAACATTACCCCCCCCACGCTTCCGCGGCCACTGATTAAAATTATACCGGTAATTAAAAATTTGCTGCCGATGTGGTAACATTTTCACACCGAGTTATCTACGATACGGTATTTTATTTATCAATACCATTTTGGTAGTCATACATTTTATCAAATTATTTTAAATTTTTAATACTGAGTACATATGCAGTAAAAATGTATAATTTCAGAAAAATGGCGTAGAGCCGACCTCACCAACTACTGGTCGTACCCGCCATGCTGTGACGACCCGAATTATCCTGACCAGAGCGAATGCAGGGATTACAGCGGGTGCAAATATCGCGGACAATTCGCCTTCGTTTCCGGGACAAAGTCGGAGGCCTGGGTCAAGGCGAACAACATTATCGCCATTCACCACAAAGACGCCGGAAAGTATAAGTTGAAAACTTTGGAGTTACGGGCGAACGGTAAAACTATCAAGGCGAAGGTTTACGACGAATGCAACGATAAAGATTGTAACAATTGCTGCACAAAGAATTCGAAGAGGACGAAATTTCTCATTGATATTGAACGAAATACGATGAAGCATTTCGGTGGTAAGGGGGACGGTATTGTTGAGTGGAGGTGTCTCGATTGTTAAATAAGTGTAATAATTTGTTTATTGATTAATTGGGTATATAATTTGTTATTATAAAACTTGTCGTGTATTAAGAAACCGCATAAAGTGTGATTGAATTACAAAAACCTACTCCGAGCAACTTTGCGGGGCCTTTTAAGATGGCATTAATGCCATCTTGGTAGTTAATGACAACACATTTGGGTGGAAAAGACCCCCACCGGCCAACCACTCGACCGATCATGCCCATCTCCGAACTCATCCTTACTTTTGACCCGAAGATGAAGTGTGCAAAATTTCAAGTCGATAGCTTGTGTTTAAAGAGAGTTATCGTGCGCACAGACGGACGCACAGACGGACGGACAGACAGACATCTTGATAAATCTATAAGGCCATCTTAAAAGGCCTAATAAAAGGCCTAAAACAGAGTATAATTCGCACAAGTTATTCATACATAAATACATAAATAATATGCATTTATTCATACAATATTTTAAGGAGATTAAATAATTAATTGTGACGTATGGAAATCATAAATACGGTTGAAATGAAAAACACAACTAAATAATGGAAACTAACATTTTAAAAACCATAATTTCTTTTACTAACTTTGAGCTACTAAAATCTTAAAACCTATACTTTCGTCAAATATCGTATCGTTCATCGTCACCCATTCCGGGATAATTTGGGCCCTTGTTGCTCCTTGTGTAGAGGGGGTTGCCCCCCTTATTTGGTGCATACCTTGGCGCGGGCATTGCCGGATTTAACGGGATGGACTTCTTGCTCACTTTATGTTTCGGTTTTCCGCCTCCCAAATAACCCGAACTGCTTCTTCTCTCCAAAGTCACAGGATCCTTAAGTGGTATCGACCAGCCGGGGAGTGGGGGCGAGGGAACGACAGAATCAGACCACTCATCCCCTTCCGTCACCATTTCCGCGGTGGACTGATCCGAATAAGGTGGCGTGGCGAAAAAGGGTGCGGTTGGAGTTTGATGGATAAAATTGGCTCCTAAAATTGAATTTGGAATGATAAATCCCATTTCGTTGGGTGGTTCTGGGCCACCTTTGTCTAATTTGTCTCCCCCAAGGGAACCCTGCTTCGGGGCGGGTGGGGTAGCAATTACGGGGTTGAGTTGTAAAAAATGATTTTTAGTGGTGGCCATGGTTCGTATAAATTCGCGAAATTCCCATTCTTCCAAGTTACGTTTTATGAAGGAGAGGACCTGCGGAGGGAAAAATGTATAATGTATATTTTGTAATTACTAGTTGCTAGTTCCAATATGAATGAAATAGACTTTGGGTCGTGTCATATAAACACATATTTACAAATGTACAAATGTGCATATTTCGCAAATTTTTTTATAAAACGATTTTAACAAGTTGCTAATTTCTGCACATAACAAATATTATAGTGCAAATTTTCTGATAGAAAAAGGTTTATTATTACATAGCGTCACACTAAAGGTTTGGATGCAGATACATATGTACGCAACCTTGATTAAGAGTAAAATTTACTCTGTATCTAATATGAAAGTCTGCATGCATTTACATTTCAAAAGGGGTTACCTTATTTTTAAGAGTTTAACTCACCAAAACATCTCCAAAGCTCAACTTGACGAGGACAATCTCCTTTTTACTAAACTGCTTATTTATCACGGCTCCCTTCTCTAGGAAGACATAACTCCTCGCCTTCTCCACATCGTCCCTGCACGCTCGGGAGACAAATCTCCGGTAACTGTACTTCCGGTATGGACCACACATGAACAAAGATATCCTGAAAAGTGAGAGCAGATTGACCACAAAGGTGAACGCCAACCACCACCAAAACACGAAGAATGACCACTGCGTCAAGTTGTTCATGGGGAGTTGACACTGGGCCGACTTGATTTCCGGGTCGCCCCCAAATCCGTACTGGATCCAGTTACATTTCGCCATTTTTGGGAAAAGGACATCCATTGGATTTGGCCAGGGAGCAGAATCGTCGAAGAAATGGGCAAAAACTGACACGCCATAGTATCGATAAGGTAAACCGATGATGCCGCTGAGGTAAAAGTATTCCGCGACTGGGGTCAAGGTTGCGAATATTTTGCAAAAAAAGTAATAAACTGCGAAAGAATCGTTAAATCCGGCTGTTTCTAAGAAATACTTGACACGGATGTCATGCTCGGTAATGTCAATGTCGCCGGGGGAGGAGGACACGTCCAAGAGTGGTTTCAGCTTTGTGACTCCGCGTGCCTAGGATTTATTTGGGAAATATTTAGTATAAATTATTTCGTAAATTTGGCAAGAATATATGTATGCATACTCAGGTAAACATTCTCATTTTATGCATCTCGTAAATTGAGCATATCAACGTAACTTGCAAAATTTGCGAGATTTCGCTTAACTTTTGCAGGAAAATTATGAGATTTTTTTCATAAGTTTACCCTGCAAGTTTGCATGTTTTTATTGCGCAAAATTATTTCGCAAATTCACCCAGATAAACTACAGAAATGCATTTAAACAACATAAAAATAGGTGCACTAGAAGTAAATTTGCGAGATTTGCGAACTCAAATTTTGCGCATCCAATCACGAATAAAAATTTCTTGAGCTTAACAAGTTTGTAAAGTGAGTCACGATTCCAATAAAACGGTATCGTGAGTATGCTCATTATTTAGAAAATTTTGCAAAAATAGTAAGTATGTATAAATTATTTCGCAAATTAAAAAAAAATTAGTCCCACCTTCCAAAAGAAGTACGGCAGAAATGAGAACACCGCCATTTTCGCAAGGATCATCCACACAAACTTGTAGTATCTTTGTCGAATTACGGCATCTCTATCTTTCCGATATCCTGACACACCCGGGTAGCTGACCTCTCCCCGCATTTCCGGTTCCAGCGCTTTCACCACGAGAAAAGTGTCGTGGTTCCAACAGTAGTCGTTCAAATCGGAGATTACACTTCCACCCACGCTGACCCCACCGCCGCGACGATTTCCTCCTCCGCCACCTCCACCACCATCGTCAACATTTGTGACACAATCAATTTCCAAATTGCGGACGAACTGGTTCGCAAAAGAGAGACAGATCCCGACCGTGAGGAGGGCGGGGGTGTACTTGGTCGATATTTTGAAGGCGAGGTCAAACGTGATGATGCCATCTCGGGTAAGAAATTTTTTCAAAGGGGACCAGATGTTGTTGGGGATGAAGGTCAGGATGGCGGCGGTGGTGAGTGGGGGCATATTTTGGGAAGAATTCTGGGTTTGTACGTTTTTTTTAATTGAGTGCAATTTTCTTGGCTGGGAAATCTATTTATCAAAGTCTGAAATAAATAATTAGCACACAAAATTGGTCAATTTTTAATCCTGAACCTTAATTCCGTCCAGTTTTTTGTAAGATTTTCTGCCCTTGTTTTGAGACTGACAAGATAATGCTAGTGTTTTGTAAAGTGAAATATGCACAAGTACTATAAAGTATTAAAGTGACTACAAAACTGTAAATATCCAATTAAGTACATAATTACAATAATTACGTATTTCTCTAAATAAACGTTGTCTACCAAAAATACCATATGTGTGGTTTAGTCACATTGCTTCTTAAAGATCATTTAATTACTTGGTGTAATATGAATTGGTTATATGGATTGGTGACAAATTTGCTTCTTACATGTATAAATTGTGGAAATTGATATCCTACATACATACTGCTGTACATACATACATTATTGGTTAAAATAAGTCTTGATACGATTTTTATGACACGGCTTTTCTTAACTTTTACAGAAATACATATTTACATGGAAAAGATAGGTCAATATTTAACTTGTGCATTTGTCCAGCATACATAAGAACATGCTTATCACAATTCACCGCACTTAAGTTTATCCAACTGTTAACGGGACGCTTATCATTGTGTAAGCATCGTGACTTAACTGCGTAGTGGGCAAGATGACCTGTATAAATACATACAGATATACATGCACATATTTCCATACAGCCAGTAACACAGCTTTTCTATGATACATATGTATTTATGTATGTAGCAGTGACTGAGGAATTCTGGAGCAGAGGTCGACGCCGCCGATCTCACGCCGCCGCGCCGCCATACGCCGATGATTTTTCCGCGTCGCCGCCGCCGAAAAATTTGATTTCCTATTCCTTTAGCATTGCGACGCCGCGCCGCTGACGCCGCCGAAAAACCACCAAAAACTGGCGCCGCCGCCGCCGAAAATTTGTCGGCGTCGACCTCTGTTCTGGAGTGACGTGGGGAAAGTATGGATGGCTTATTTTTTTCATGAAAGACTTTTTATGTACATGCAAAGCTAATGTCAATAATATATATCTCTTAATTAGGCGTGTCACCTCATTTGCATAAGTCGCACTATGCTCATCTTCCACAATATGGCTTTCCATGTTAAATAAACTCCGTGTCTCGCGAATACGAATGAAAATATGCAAATGAGGTGACCAGCACAAATAATTTGACTATAAGTCTCTTAGATATTAAAAAAATCAAACCATAACCTATAACGAACGAAATTGCAGGGATGTGATATCCGCATAGGATTTTCGATGGATTACGGAATAATTTGTTAAAAATTGTCTTTGGATTAAGGGATTACTTTGTTTGCTCAGCTCAAATGCATATCACTTAATTTCAATATGTATTTAGTCACCGGAATGCGTGGGGTATGCATGCGTGTTTCTTTCTCTTCGGATGCAAATATCTCTGCCAAACCTGAGCAATAGTCTTTTTTGCAAATTTCATATTATAGTAATACAATTTTTGACCGGGTGAAACTAATTTGGTCAAAATCAGGAAGCATGCATAGTACGCTGGGAGAGACCTTCATTGTAAGGCATAAATATTGCAACCCAATTCGTGTTACTCGTCATCTCAAAGTACCCCCCGCCCCGGCTGATTGAAATTGCCCACTAGAAGTCAGATCAGAGACGCAGTAGCAAAATATTTATTTGTCGCCAATTAATTGATCCGCAATTTTCCTTCGCCTTCCTCCAATTCACAATTTCTGTCCACAAATCTGTGAGTTGGATTTGATTCAAAGATCAAGAAAGGTGGGTGACCTTCGAAATTTACCTGACGTAATTTAATTAGCGTACATATTTTATCCTTAAACTTTGAGAGTTGCTTGCGGTTTTAGTTTCAATTTAATCAAATTAACAGTTTGGATCGGAATTTTAGACACACAATTTACCAAGATGGAGTTGCGGTCATTCTCTTCGACAAGGCAGAGAACCAGTCTTCCAAATTTGAGTAAGTTGCGCCTTCAATATTTCATCTTAATTAAAAAAATGAGGTTTCCAAAATAAAATATATATTTATTTTCCATTTCATTCATTTAATTAATTCCACGCACGACAGCTCCCCGCAATTTTACCGATAATAGCAGCGCCATGTCGAAAGCTCTGAGAAATCCATTGGTGAGTCATTAAAACTCCTAAATTTTAAACTTTCTTGACTTAAATATGTAATTGTGAATTGAAATTCTGAATTTCCACCAGATTCTCGACATTATTTTCTCCCAGCTTAACAACTTCGACTTGAGAACGGCTCGTCATGTGTGTCGCGAGTGGGGCGACGTCGGCGCAGGTTTGTTGGGAAAACGAGCCTTTTTCCACGTCAACCAACTTTTCCGCTACAACGGCTCAGAATTGTACCAGGTGATCCCTGCTAACGACAAACTGATGCGAAACCTTATCATCTGGGACGATTTTAACCCCTCCGTCCCCAGCAAAAAGACTGCCAGCGTCATAACCAAACTTTTTTCCGAACTCTCCTCCAACGTGCGCGAATTCACGAGAGAAATCGCGTTTTACATCACGCTGAAAAAATTCGCGATCGCGTTTCTGAATGGTTTGCGAACCCTGAAATCAACCACGAAGATCCAACACATTTCCATCTTTATCCAATCGACAAACCCATTGGTGGACAAAGGTCGGATTCAGACCCTTCGGAAATTGCCCCTTCAAAGAAACTTGACTTCAATAACGTTCGAAATTCCTCCACCAATTCAAGAAGGGGGATCTGGCATTCACGCGTTTCAGCCTTTGCTCCAGGTCTTGATCGACTCTGCCCCCAAACTGACCTCGTTGGACGTGACGGCCTCCTTTTTGAGTTTAGAGGGATGTAGAAATCTCAAAGTTTTGAAATTTCTCTTCGCAAATTGTAATCACGAGGAGTGTCATAACTTCAAGTTGGCCTCCGTGGCCACCATGTTGACTTCCGTGAAGGATTCGTTGATCGAGTTGGAACTGGGCTATGCTGACGTGCACGTATTTTCTATTGGTCTCATTCACGATCCGCAAGTAAATTAATGAGATTAATTTAATCTAGAATTTTGAATTTTACAATTTACATGCAATTCTCACAGGCCGGCCGTTATCTTGACGTCCCCGTCATGCCGAACCTTGTCTCACTCACCATCACTCCGCTGTATGTCTACCCAATCCAGAATTTCTTTGATGAGAAGCATTTCCCAAAACTGAGAAACGTGTCGCTCAAAAAGCACCAATTCGAGGTGATCCAGTTATCAAGTCATCTTCTAAACCTATGGAAGCCACACCGAGGAGTTGAATATTTGGCGCTGGAGGCACGCGACTATTGCCGGGATGACAGGAAATTTGGGGAAACGATTGTTCAATTATTCCCGAAAGTTACGAAACTTGAGGTGGCATTGAGCCAATGTGAAGATGACGTAAACGAGGTGGTGGAACCGCTGAAAGTATTGAAGTTGGAAGAGTTTAAGCTTGTCTTGTGGCATGTGAACGTTGCCTCCAAGCTGGTTAAAGTTCTGAGAAGTTTGGCGATTTGGAAAGGTATGTATGTATGAAAATATTGGCGAAAATTGACCTCTTTAGGAATTATAATTATTTAATTTTACATAGGCGTTAAAAGTGTCTACTTCAAGTGGGGTTGCATAGAAAAGGCCGACTTTTCTGCTTCCATTCAAGACATCATCTTGTATAGTAGAGGATTTAAAAGAGTGGAAATCTCGGGATTTGTGGTAAGTTTTTGAGTCATAGGATTTTCATGAGGTAATTTTTTTGTACATGCGGTTTTTTAATAAATTCAGGCCCGGGATATTGTGAAAGTCATCCGACCCATTTTTGAGGCCAGTGGTGCACCCGTGGATTTTAGGGGAGGTGTGTACCGTAATATGAATTTTGTGATAATGGTAGGAGGAGCGGTGGATTTGTAATTTGTGTGGTTTTTGAGGGTTACACTGTTTTAATGTTTTCCACTTAGATAGATACAGAATTTCATAAATTAATAGTACTTAAGGGGTGATCTGATACAGTCTCACCGCTACCTGACGGGGAGTGTGTAACTATGTCCTCCCATAAGCTCCCATGTTATAGTTTTAAAAACTTTCAGCGTCGTCAAAAGACAATAAATTTCCATTTTTTGCACCAATCGACGCGTATATTTAGTCCCCACAAAGTTACTGAAGTTTTAATGGATACGTGGAGTATACACGGAGAAATGAAGCTTTTTCTGATTTTTTTTGTGAAAAGAATTATGGTGTGACCATGAAAGCGACTTTAAGGTCAAACTCCAGTAACTTTGGGAGTTGAATATTTTGACACATTTTGCAACAAAAAAATCCGATATTAATGCAAAAATAAATGTGCCCAAATGTTTTGAAAACCTGGTTTTTAGAAATTACGAAATAAACATGCCCGTCAATTCCAGTTTCCCCAATTTTTATTATGTTGTAGGTCTTTAGTAGTAGAACAATAGTCAAATTGGACTTATAGTCGAAATCGACCTTCGTGACCTTGTTTCGGCGTCGAACGGTTGGTAGGTCAAAGGTCACCGATCCCCACAAATGAGATATCATTGGAAAGGTCTCGGTGAGAGGATTCCAAATATATATACTTTGTTGGGTGTATGACCACTCCTTCATGTTCCAGAAGCAGAAGAATGAAAATCTGCAATTCTCCACAATTTAACACAGCGAGTAGATTGGGAGCTAACATGCAGTAGATGGGCACAAACTCAGAAATATTCTCCGGTCTCTGGAAATTTAGGGAGTGGTCATACACCCAAAAAAGTATATATATTCGGAATCCTCTCGTCGAGGCCTTTCCAACGATACCTCACTTGATAATAAATTCCATTTACAGTTTCGAAAAATTAATTTTAAAATAAAATGAAAATTGTATGAGTTGAACGCCAAATGACTAGTGAAAATGTTTAATATTATTAGAATCTACACCTCGCTCTTACCCCTCCTTATGACTTGGCCACGAATGGTTTTGTAATAAATAGTAAATAGTTGAATTGAATAATGCAAAAATTTAGCGATAATGTATGCAAGTGTGACATTTTCATTACAATTTGTTAGTCCGTATGATTTTGAGAGAATGTAATTTAGAATCACGATTTTGAATTAATGATGTTTAATAATAAATATAGATTAATAGATTATATAGATTATAGATTATTATAGATTATTAATGATAGATTATTAATAACAAATAATAGAAAATATGCATATCGCTACAATTAGTGATCCAGTTTTTCAAACCGAATAAAGCAGATTTATTTCAGGAAATGATTTCGTAAAATATTTTCCATGAAAAAAATAAATTCTGAAAGTTTATAATTTCCTACATACGGTTATTCGTTAGTAAAATAGAAACCACCCACACTTTAGCGTTAGTAAATTCTTTTTCTCAAGTCCTTAAACTCTTCCTCTTATCGAACCTCGGTTTGGCGGTGGTGAGCATTTGCAGTGTCCTATTATTCATGGAGCCTAATCGCCCATTTTGCCCCCGAACTTCGAACGATCTTCCCGACGGGGTTTGGTTAATCAAAAATCCGAACGCGATATCTAGTCCGGCTGCGATGAAGGGAGAACCAAAGCAGCCGATAACGTATGGCGTCATCGCTTGGATAACGACGGTCCCGGCACATTGCGAAAATGCGGCGTAGGATTTGCAATAATATTCTTTCCCGTTAAAAACCTCTGGAAAATTATGTATTGACAAAATGTATTCGAAGTGATTAAAGCTAAATTTTTGAAAACATACCGGCCAATTTGAAACAGGGTTCCGCCTTTGGAATAATTTCATTTCGTAAAGATTCTGGAAAGTTTTCGCCAAAAAATATGGCAGCTGCGACTTGATCGAGTGCACCCTCTTCGTCGAGCTAAATGGATATTTAATTCAATTTTTATATAATGGGAAAAATTTGCAAAATACTCTTATTTTATTTGCTGTAAAATCTCGCGGTAAAAGGGTTTCCACCTGCCCCATACAGTTCGCACCCAATTCCATTCAAAGCTTATGGCAACTTAAAACTTTAGACATAGGGTTTTGAATGGAAGTGGGTGCGAACTGTGTGGGCCAGGTGGAAACCTTTTTACCGCGAGATTTTATAGCCAAAAAAACAGGAGTATGTGCATAGCGAGCTATTACCACACAATATTACTGATCAATACCACTTGGGTAAAGTCATACATACATGTATGGACACCGCTTGGTATTATTTTAACACTGGATTTCTAAGAATGCACAAAATTATTAAGAAAGTTTGCTCACCAAGGCCAACTCGGTTAAGAGGCATTTTACAAAACACTGTTAAAAATTTTGACACCAATTAATTAAAAACAACACTTAAGTAATTCCAATTATATATTAAATAGTTTCTCACAAATAGTCGTGTAACAACTTCGCCGAGATTTTGGATTTTGAACGAATTTGCTAAACATGGTCCAACCGCGTCAAAAACGATACTGAGCAGGTCAAAGATCCATTTTTGACACGATTTCTGCACCGGAGCTTCAACTTCACCTTCACCACCCTCGTCTTGACACAGGATGGGAGCAATTAGCTGTTATTTTAAATAGTTTTAGAAGTTTCATTTTTTACTCTAATTTAAAATATTTATGAAAATTTAAAAACAAATTCTCACCAAGATAACGATTGCCAAAGTGTAAACGAATTTCATTTTTATAAAAAATAAATTTCCCAAGAAATGAGGAACTTATACACGTTATGAAGCTGGTCAGCTACCATAATCCGACAACAATGGTCGAAATGTGTACCGAACTGCCGCTTAAATTTCCAGGTTCAAGGTATAAAAATTGTTACGACAATGCGGAAGCGTCAGTTTTTTGACATTGATCTTGATTTAGAAAATGCATACGTTCGAGAATTAAATAGTTACGCAAATAACCTAACCTTCATCACGATAAGCATTTTTTAAATTTAAAATTTGTATGTTTGATTTAAATAGAATCGTTGCATAAAGTCTGGCTGTACACATGAATATGTATTTGTGTATATATGTATACCTAAAATTAGCAAAAAATTGTGAAACGAAAGAGGATAATTTAGTGAGTTACGTACATAAATCCTATCGTTTATCTGTAGTTACATACATATTGTCAACAGGAGTGAAGCATAGCATATGTACATATTTATTGACTTGATAAGGATTAAATACATCCATACATACATAAACGAATACGAGAGATATGTACATATGTACATACACAGTTGCATGTCCTAGTTGTGTGTCCAATTGTTTTAAAAATGGTTACGTCCGCAATTAAAAGTTAATTAGGGGTTTACTTTTTACTTTCTAAATACCTATGCTTGGTTGGTGCACATGCAAAAATAAATCTTTGCTGTCAATCATGCCACGCTTTTGCATGGGAGACCCGCCCCTGGGTGAAATTTTTGATCATTTTCTAAATTTTGCTTAAAAGAAATTTTGCCCAATTTTCTGCAGTAACCTGTATCCAGAAATAAAACCCATATCAATGGTTTGCAGAATTATGTACAAAAATGTATTTAGCATATTTACAATATTTATGTATGCATCGAGCTTTTGTCGATTATTATTGCTTACTTCGACACAGTGATTTCTACCAGGGGCAGGGTATGGGTGCATGGGTAAATATTTGCTATACTTAAGGCTATAGAAAACTAATACGTATGTATTTATTTGATTATGTGGTCGGTAAAAACTTATTGCAACAATATAAGTAAATAATACTGGTATTTAAGTCAAATAATTTATGAGAATGCTAAATAAACAGGAAATTTATGTTAAAATATTTCGCCAAGTAGTTAACTAATTAATACATAAGTAATGCAGGTAACTAAACACTACGGACATTCAGGTAAAATAATGTAAGAGAGTATTAAATCAAAAATCAACTAGAAAATAATCTCAAGTAATTCGTTAATATGTAGTAAAATAATCCATACTAAGGTAACGTAAATTAATACTGTAGGTATTTCAGTCAAATAATGAGGGTATTCATTACGAATTCGCAACACTAGCAACGAAATAAAATTCACAAGTTCGCCAATAAATTGGCTTGAAAATTCCTTTCCTAGATGCGAACTTTCGTATCTAGGAAATTTGCAATTTTTTTCAAGACTATGTTGCTGAACATGCAAACTCGGAATGAATACACCCAATATAAGTGGCATGGTGAGAGGCAGACTGCTTAAGATTGTTCATTTTCTGCCGGTGGGACGAGGTCGAAGTTTGGAAATGCGCGAAAGTCTATTACATGAACGCCTACGATATCCAGAACGTTGTGACGGGATGAAAAGGCCATCATCCTTGTAGCAGTCAGAATATTGACGCGGTGTGAGCGCTAAAAATAAGTAAATTGTAATTAAATAAGCAGATGGATATAATTAATTAATTAATTCACTTTCTGTGTAGACTGGGAACCGGAAGGATGGGATGTAATCGTCATCATTAGCGTCGTCGTCGTCTTCATCAATTGGTTCGTCGACGTCATTAGCGTCGTCGTCTTCAATTGGTTCGTCGACATCATTAGCGTCGTCGTTTTCATTTTCGACACCCTTTTCATTTTCGACACCCTTTTCATTTTCGACGTCGTTATCTTTATCGCCGGCGTCATCTTTGGCGAAAGGATTTGGTCGCCCGCAGCCTCTCTTGCTCACTATATCACCTGGCGGGGGAGCTAATTGGCTTTAACTTAATTGCAACCCACTTAAATTATTCATAATTTAATATAATTTCCCTCACCGTAGTAGTGGTCAGAAAAATCGACATCATCCTGGGAGTCATCGATGATTTCGATATCCTCGTCGCCAGAATCAGACTCCATGAGTTCCTCAAAGGCGTCATTCTTCAGATTGGGTGGAGAACAGGTTACAAGCTTAACCGTCTGTTCGTCAATTTCTGAGAAAATAAAAAAATAAAAAATTTAAAAAACGAAGGACGAAATCGTGACGGGAATTTAAATTGAGACGATTTACCACTACAAATGACGGGTGAATTGGATTTTGATGGAGGAATGAAGAAATGTCGCATTGGGGTTAACTCGTATTCATTTCCGGGCGTCGTGTTGGCCTTTGAGGTGGAGGCAATGATGCCTGCGGAAGTTGAGGGAAGACACGCTGCAGCACTTTCAGCTACTAAATTTAATAATTACAAATTATTGTACTAACGTATGTAGGGCTTATCACCAAAATCGTCAACATTAATACGTTTTTGTTAATCATTTTTCGCCTCAGGGAACTTATTTACTGTTACTGTTATTTACTGTTAAAATCTAGAGTGTATATTTTTATAAAATTCGCAAGGACCTGCTCAACAAATTTGTCGCCCAGCCAGAATAATAAAATAAAGCGAAGAAATGATTTAAAATGTGCTGGCTTCCGCTTGGCGATTAATCACCAAATCCAACATTAAGTAAAATATTATAATTTCATCTTGCTTAAATACCTTGACCTTGCTTGTCCTCGCTCAGTTTTTCAACTTTTACGGCTCGCAGTGCTACCTCCTGCGTCGCGGCGTTTACGACGACCTGAATTTGTAAGTCGTCATCCAGGGGGATAAATTCATCCGCTAATTGTAAAATGGTTAATAAATTTGGTTGGAGTCTAGGAAAGGGGACCCCCGATTTTTTCTAAGTTTTTCTGTGAAATTTTTTTTGCACTGGCCAAAAAATTTTTATTGCATATTTGCATCGATCATGATGTGTAGATTCCAAAAAACATGTTTTCAAAATTTCGAAATTTTGGGAAAAAGTTTTCAACATTGGGTCCCCCTATACCAAAAAACGACTAAGTTTTTTTGTGTAACATGTTGGGACAATGTGATAAAACAACGGGGCAACGTGAGATCAACCTGGGGGAATGTGAGAAACTCTAGGGGAATGTGAGATACGGCTGGGGGAATGTGAGAAACACTGGGAGAAGGTGAGATACGACTGGGGGACTGTGAGAAACTCTGGGGGAATGTGAGAAACTCTGGGGGAATGTGAGATACGACTGGGGGAATGTGAGAAACACTGGGGGAATGTGAGAAACACTGGGGGAAGGTGAGATAAGACTGGGGGAATGTGAGAAACACTGGGGGAAGGTGAGATAAGACTGGGGGAATGTGAGAAACACTGGGGGAATGTGAGATACGACTGGGGGACTGTGAGAAACACTGGGGGAATGTGAGAAACACTGGGGGAAGGTGAGATAAGACTGGGGGAATGTGAGAAACACTGGGGGAAGGTGAGATAAGACTGGGGGAATGTGAGAAACACTGGGGGAATGTGAGATACGACTGGGGGACTGTGAGAAACACTCTGGGAATGTGAGAAACACTGGGGGAAGGTGAGATAAGACTGGGGGAATGTGAGAAACACTGGGGGAAGGTGAGATACGACTGGGAGAATGTGAGAAACACTGGTGGAGGGTGAGATACGACTGGGGGATTGTGAGAAACTCTGGGGGAATGTGAGATACGACTGGGGGAATGTGAGAAACACTGGGGGAAGGTGAGATACGACTGGGAGAATGTGAGAAACACTGGGGGAAGGTGAGATAAGACTGGGGGAATGTGAGAAACACTGGGGGAATGTGAGATACGACTGGGGGACTGTGAGAAACTCTGGGGGAATGTGAGAAACTCTGGGGGAATGTGAGATACGACTGGGGGAATGTGAGAAACACTGGGGGAATGTGAGAAACACTGGGGGAAGGTGAGATAAGACTGGGGGAATGTGAGAAACACTGGGGGTAGGTGAGATAAGACTGGGGGAATGTGAGAAACACTGGGGGAATGTGAGAAACACTGGGGGAAGGTGAGATAAGACTGGGGGAATGTGAGAAACACTGGGGGAATGTGAGATACGACTGGGGGACTGTGAGAAACACTGGGGGAAGGTGAGATACGACTGGGAGAATGTGAGAAACACTGGGGGAAGGTGAGATAAGACTGGGGGAATGTGAGAAACACTGGGGGAAGGTGAGATACGACTGGGGGAATGTGAGAAACACTGGGGGAAGGTGAGATACGACTGGGAGAATGTGAGAAACACTGGGGGAAGGTGAGATAAGACTGGGGGAATGTGAGAAACACTGGGGGAATGTGAGATACGACTGGGGGACTGTGAGAAACTCTGGGGGAATGTGAGAAACTCTGGGGGAATGTGAGATACGACTGGGGGAATGTGAGAAACACTGGGGGAATGTGAGAAACACTGGGGGAAGGTGAGATAAGACTGGGGGAATGTGAGAAACACTGGGGGTAGGTGAGATAAGACTGGGGAATGTGAGAAACACTGGGGAATGTGAGAAACACTGGGGGAAGGTGAGATAAGACTGGGGGAATGTGAGAAACACTGGGGGAATGTGAGATACGACTGGGGGACTGTGAGAAACACTGGGGGAATGTGAGAAACACTGGGGGAAGGTGAGATAAGACTGGGGGAATGTGAGAAACACTGGGGGAAGGTGAGATAAGACTGGGGGAATGTGAGAAACACTGGGGGAATGTGAGATACGACTGGGGGACTGTGAGAAACACTGGGGGAATGTGAGAAACACTGGGGGAAGGTGAGCTAAGACTGGGGGAATGTGAGAAACACTGGGGGAAGGTGAGATAAGACTGGGGGAATGTGAGAAACACTGGGGGAATGTGAGATACGACTGGGGGACTGTGAGAAACACTCTGGGAATGTGAGAAACACTGGGGGAAGGTGAGATAAGACTGGGGGAATGTGAGAAACACTGGGGGAAGGTGAGATACGACTGGGAGAATGTGAGAAACACTGGTGGAGGG